ATCAATTTTTCAAGTAATTAGAACATAAATTTGCATTTTCTCCTATCAAACTGTGTAAATAGAATATGTCTGAACTCATTATATCAAATTTGACATATATTTAACGAATTGTGTTTATTTGATTGATTATTAGTATTAAATATTAGTTATATGTTTTTTCTTTCGATTATTTGAATTGATTGTTTGAATCAAATACATTATAAGATTTTTAAAAGAAAATATGCATTTTCTTGTGATAAACAAAATATTAGTAAAATGACTCTTCAAAATCAAATGGATGAAAATGATTAGTAAAATATTAATAAAGAAATATTTTTTAAATGTAAATCTGCATTATTTCAAATTAAGTATGAATCATTTAAAAATTAAGAACAAAGTATTCGATTTGCACAGAGTTTGGTTGTACCCTCAACTAAAAATGTCTTCGTTCGCCCTGCTTTGACCCTCAATTTATTTAGAAATAAAGCTTAGTAGAAGGGCATAAGTTCTTTTGGATTTATGTTTTGATGTAGGAGCATAAAACAAGGCTCCAATCTGAGTCAAGGAGGAGATTGAACTACTTCGAGCCAATCTCAAGAGAAGCACAATTGAGGACGAAATTGGGAGCAAATGCCATGAAACATTTTTCATGTATTCTGAAATATTATGTATTCTCAAAAGAAATCATGACAACCTAATACCCTAACTAACAAGTTTTAAAAGAAATGCATTTTTCTTAAGTCTACACGTAGTGTCAAATTAAATTAACTAAAGGAATATGTATCTTTTTGTACAGTGCAACTCTATCCCATGCCTTATAATTCATGTCCAAGCCCAAGCCAACTACGGGGATGAATCTCCTTCATAGTTTTTCTCCCACTTGGGAAGGATCCTACCATGAATCCAAGGAGTGGGAAAGGAGCATCATGTGGGATATGATTCTTGAAGGTGTCACAAATTCTACGGGCTTTAATTTGTGATAAGAATTAATTCAGATCCAAAACTTCTTGAGGTACGTCATCACCAAACATTCCTTGAAATATTCATCTTCTTTTTTTGAGGTATGACCCAAACTCGTAAATAAAATAGCCAATGATTTCTTCCAAAATCAATAGTTGTGCCAGAACCATACCCATCTTCCACGAAGTTGCCAACCCTATTCTACACAACATATATATACTTCATTAAAAATAATATTAATAAGAAACTTTTCCCTAAACTTAAGTATTTGAATCTTATACTTCTTAGTTTTTTTATTTTTGAAATCCCCTAACCACACTAATCTATGTAATATGTGCTCTATTGAAAATCGTTAAGTCTCAATACAAAAGTTTGTCAATTCGTAATACATGCAATAACGAAAGCGATAAACTCCACCAATAATACTCCGAATCTCAAATTAGTAAGTAAAGCACGAAACACCTAGAGTAACTATTTTGGCTACTTGAGCAATAAAATTTAGCACCTATTTGGTATCCATTAAAATTTTCATTTTCATTTTTCTACTCATTTTCAACCACACATTCTTCATTAAAATAATATTTTCCACCACATCAATAACTTTTCCTTCTTTTCCAACCACACATTCTCCATCAATCTACCATTCCAAAACACATTGTTCCAAAATAATATCCATTAAACACACCCTTAAGGAGAAACCCTTCATGACTGTTTTTTTCCTAAAAAACATGTGCAGTTTTCAGGATTGATGTAAAGGTGTGCTAGCTAGCAATTAAATGGAAATGCATTATTTGGGTTGGTTTGAGTTGTATAACAAACATGTTTTCATTGATATGAAGAATTCAAGTATATCGATTGAGTCCTAGTTTGATTTAATTTTTTGAGAGGTGATTTTGTGAAATGTGGTTTTTTTGAGGAATGTGAAGTTAAGTAATAAAAAAAATTATAGATTCAAGTGCAAAATTATTTTATTGGGAGAATTTGTGGTTGATGATGAGTTTAAAGAAAAGCGATTATGAAAAAAATAAAAATCAAAGTCAGAACCTAACAAAGGCTCAATCTAAGATATAGTGTTAATAATGACAGATAAATATAAATGAACAATTTTTGATATAGGGAAATCTAAGTCTAACCCACTAAAGGGAATTCAACTTACTGAAATATATACATTAAAATACACATCTTGATATATTTCATAATGTTGGTTTGGTAGTATATGTAAATGGTTGTTTAGATAAAGAAAATATTTAATTTAATTCGCATGAACGTAATTAAACTCTAGAAATAAAAGAAAGAAGGTAAGAAAAAGAAAATAAAATGAAGAACGAAATCCGAGGCAAGTGAAAATATTTTCTCCTTAAGACAATATTTCCCCGCAATGATGCTAACAGTCTATGACATTTGTCTCCAAAGATACAATTGACACAATTTATGGTAGAAGCACTTCAAACCACAAGTAACAACAAACTTTGAACGAATATTTCACTCTACAAGAAAATGGTTTTGGAATGACTTTTGAAAAGTATTTTGCAAGAGTTTTGATGCAATGATCAATGTAAAATAATATGGGATGTATAATGGACATCCAAAGAGTCCTATATATAGAAGAGGAATGGTTGTGAGTGAAGCGTCACGCTCCAAACTCAACAACCTTCACGAAGGAAAGTATCACTTGCTGTCGCTAACCTGTCGTTAGCTTCTTGCTTGAGCGGTACTGACACATTTTCATCAGAACCTCTCTCACTCGCCTGTTGCTAAGACTGTCGAGCGACGGTCTTACTGCTCGAGCGATAGGCGAGTTACAGAGTTAATCATTTATCTAGTTCGTAGTTTCTCTTTTCTATTCAACTTTGGACCGCAATTTTTCATTCATCTGAAATTTGTTTTGAGATTCCAAATATACCACGACGATCTACTCGACGAGTAGAATAAGTTAGTTTATCTATATTCTTAATTTGACTATATGATCAAGTCCGAATATTTGATTAAAGTTGATACAAAAGTCACTTTTCCATACTAAATTTTATTTTCATTATCTAAACCAAATTTCAACACATAATATGTTCATTCAATATATATTTGAGAAGCCCAAGAATCAAACTGAAGAGTAAATTTGCATCTGGCTCAGAATGTTCTCAAAGTTTTCAGTAGACTTCTCAATTGGATGAGAATGCATCCCTTCATAGGTTGTCACTATTATTTCTTCATCTTTAGATAGCCTCTGGACTTGCTTTTTAACATTGCAACCTTGATATGTACATCGATAGTAACTTCTGCATGTAAGAAAAATGAGACAGGTTTGTTACTAACTCTATGCTTCCAATAATTCATAATCATTGGTGAGGAGGATTGCATCACATCTAGAACATATTCGATAAAAATCGTATAAAATTGCACAATATAATTGTAAAATTTTAATTTTTTCTTCAATAATTTCGTCTTCTACTATTAAGTACCTATATTACGGAACAAATAATTAAGCACATATGGTAAAATAGAAGTACATTCAAATAGCATTTTGACCTAATTTTGGAGGAGGAAATATATAAAACTTCTTATAAGCTTTGGATAATCAATATTTTCTACTGTCTAGCAAGAAATACTTTGTTTTCTTCATTATTTGCTTCAGTTAGGTCCAATAGAGACTCCTAATTTATATATTGTAAATTATAAATTAAATAAGAAGATGAACCTTGGAAATTTGTTGTTCTTGACAGCCTTCTGGCCATATTTTCTCCATCTGTATCCATCATCAAGTATATCGACCAGGCTTCTTGTTTGAAAAGCGTGCCTAGGTTTTCTCGATTTCTTCTCACCCTTATTCTTACCTGATTTCACCTCAGTTTTAGCCCCGGTAAGGCTGCCACTCTGAGCAACCCCTGAAATACCCGAATCGGGAATATCCATATTTGCGGTGAGGCTCGAGTGTCCATTTACCTTGTTATGATCTTGTGCTTGAGAATTGACCATGTTCAATAAGGATAAATGAGAACTTGCTGGTGGAGTTAAAGATGATGACTGAAATAGGGTTTGATAATTCTCCATTAGAGAACTTTAGAGAGATAGAAGAAGAAAAAGAATTATTTGGTTTGTGATATGATCAACCAACGGTTGGAATGTACCCCGACGGCTATTGTTAAATACTAGTTAGAATTCCTAATCCTAGACTTTGGACTGTTTGGAGAGCCGTGAAGGGGCAACTAAAGTCTAAAAAAAAAAATTAAAAAATTACTCTATTTAATTGCAGTAACTTTTGCTCATTTTTGTACTTATTTCGTCAACTTTTTTATTCGCATTCATGCTCTCAACATTTTATAAATTTCATCCAAAATGTCTATTAGGAGTGTGTAAAAAGACTGATATATTTAAATAAGCTAAATTTACAACAAATATAAAAGTTCTAAAAAATATCTATCACTTGTTTGAAAGCATGTTAACAAAATATTCGACAACTTTTTTTACTAGAGTCAAGATGTGCGTTAACGAAAAGAATGCCGCGTAACAAAGTTAGGAACATAAATGCAAAAATGAAACTAAGGTTGTGAACTTTTATTATAATTAAAATGCGACACAACTAATAAAAATCGAGTTAGATTAATTGCAAGTTTGTTGCTACGTCTCGTAAATTTGAAGAAATTATCGCGACATTATCACCTTCTATTGTTCTCAAGAATGACGAAAAATTAAGCATCACATGCTCGTTAATTCGCACGCAATAACAGGAATCTAGATCAAAAGGAATTTAAAAAATCTCACAAATTCATTAATTTTTAATAAAACTCCACTAAAAAAAAGGTCGATAACCTTCTTCATCACCTTCTTATGCACTTATCTCATTTCTAGAAGCCAATTAAAACTTATTCCACGTTATATATTCAATTGTGCATTTCCACGTTAACGAGCAATATGAGTGGTCAAAGCACGTGTTTTCCAATCAAAATTGTTCAATTCAACGACTATTTATTCTTTAGGCAATGAAATTTATCGATTTTCATAATTAAAATGTGAAAAATAGTAAAATAAATGGAGGCGGCGAAGTAGCCAGCAGCCAGTCAATGAAATACCTACCACTGTCAATAACGCACGCATTAGTGTTTATTAAAAATTGTTAAATTAAAGTTAATAATTAATTTTAATTCTATATTTTATGTGATTCACAACTTTTTTTAATCACATATTTTATTAACTTTTATCAAAATTTACTAAAAACCTAAATTTAATCTACTGCAAACAGGGACATAGTCTCTTTTGTATTCTAGTTCGCGGTCTACCTAACAAATGAGTCCATCCTTTCACGGACAAGAATGAACCGCTCTTTCTTTACACCCTAAAGAAACAAGTATCGTTTTTCACGTGGTCTCCCAAACCCTAATAGTCTAAACCTATGTTTGGCTCATGATTATAAATTGTTCAAAATATTTTGAGTATTTATATGTATGACATACTTATCAATCAATCGTTTATATTTATTTATAATGTGAACTGTTCCAAAAATGCTCTAACTCTCCCAAATTGATTAGAATAATTTTTCTTTATCGAAATTCATTCAAAATTAATATTTATTGATGTATATATTTCAATTCCAAATATTTCGTGTGCAGTAAAGTGTAAATAATAATAATAATAATAATAATAATATTTCAATTCCAAATATTTCGTGTGCAGTTAAGTGATACTTAACTCGATCGAGTTGAGGAAAGTGAGTTTCTCTTGATGCCTTATTTTGATAGAAATGTTTCAATTTCAAATAGTTGCGTGCAATAAAAATGTCAGATTTAATCTTTAACCAGCTTTGTGGAATTTAAGGTAGCAATAGAATATATAGAGACACACAAAATCTACCCTTTATCTTGACTACAATATTGAAATTACATAGGATAATCACATGTTCACGTTTGATTTTCAACCTATCAATATCGATCAAATATTTGAAATTTGACTTTATCTATTATAGACTTTGATTACACCATATGAAAAACAGAGATGTGTGGATGTCAGTTTTGTTAAAATCAACAAACCAAAACATTATTTAGTAAATATTCTAAATTGTCTATCTTTTGCTCTAGAAAGTTAATTTTGGTCGGATAAAGATTGATTATCCGCAACAACATCATATTATTGCTAAACAATATTTATCTTAATAAAAGGGGGTTAAAAATTAATTATTTCTAACAGTTACTTTGAATATTTCGATTGTTTTGTCAAGAAGGAAAAAAAGATGTGCACTTATAGTTTAGGTCGATTATTTTTTTCCGTTGTTGTAGAGATTTATTGAATCCTTTTTTTTTTAATTGTACGTTTATTTTAGGAAATTAATAGCATGCTAAGCCAAACGAGGTCTAACAAAAAAGTGATCTCGATCCAAATTAAGAATAATACTATTTATCATTATAACGATAAAATATCGGTGATGTGATACTCTATGTGGAATAATTGGATTGAATATTTCAATTTTTATGAGGAGGGGGAGGAGAGAGAGAAAGAGAGAGAGAAATGTGAGAGATAATGTGTTGCCACATTACCGATATTTCATCATCATGATGATAAATAACATTACTCCCAAATTAACGTTATTTGTGAAAATTTCCCTCAAATTGATCCTTTCGGGCCCAGAACAAATCTGGTTCGTCAGCTTAGAGAGCCCAAATTCAATCCATCTACCAGGAACTGTGGTCTTCCCCCCGGATACTGATTATCAGTCTCCAATAAAACTGAAGACGGTTTGATTCGCTTCAATTCTAAAGAGAATCGAACTAGAACTGTTGAGTTTAAATTTGCCATATCATAGTTAAAATTTTTAACATTTACAATAACACTACATTAATCCAACTGAGATGTGTTCAATCTTAACTCTTACAAATATAACTGAATTTAAAAATATATAAATAACAAGTTGTCTAATAAAATTCATTAATCAATGTATACAAATTACTTTGATCAAAGTGAAGGAAACTCAATTAATAGGGCAGAAAAAGTAAGATGAAGAGAGGTGCAGCCGCACAATTTTGATTATTTGAGAAACGAAAGAATAACTAAGAAAACTTTAGGTCACTCAATTTTGATTATTTGAAATTTGAATTATAAAGTTTGGCTTAGGTTGAAAACAGGAAAATGATATTTTTGGCTCAATTAATTAGTTGGCTAATTTATTTAGAAAAAAAATAGTTTGACTTATTTAAAATTTTAAAAAAAATAGGGAGCTTCGATTCTTCATAATCGAACCAAATGGTCCAAATCGTCGGTTCTCGATTCGGATACATGTTCGAGTATTTAACTTAAGAAGAATCGAGTCGAACTGCTCAGTTCTTTTCGATTCTATTCATTTATTTGTCCAGCCTTAGTCTCCAGTTTGCTCCTGTAAATTAAATGGTCTCTCAGTTGAGAAGTCGTTGGATTTTATCCAATATTGATATTTTGATAGAAATGTTTCAATTTCAAATAGTTGCATGCAATAAAAATGTCGGAGTTAATCTTTAGCCAGCTTTGTGGAATTTAAGGTAGCAATAGAATATATAGACACTCACAAAATCTACCCTTATCTTGACTACGATATTGAAATTACAGAGGATAATCACATATTCACGTCTGATTTTCAACCTATCAATATCTATCAACTATTTGAAATTGACTATAATAAAGGGTGTTTGACACCCTAGAAAAATGTGTTTTTGAATAGTGATTGATAGAAGAATGTGTGGTTAAAAAGTAATGAGAATTTTTAGGTTTATGTATAATATTATTTTATTGATAGAATGTGTGGTTGAAATGAAGAAAGAGAAAAAGAATGAGAATGAGAAAAAAATGGATGTCAAACGGGGATATATCTATAATAGACTGTTTGATTACACCATATGAAAAAGTGGAAATTTCAAAAATGTCCACTTTTCCATCGCCATTTGCAAAAATTTCCAAAATTTCTTACATGTCTATTTTACTAAAATTTAAACTAAAATGCCCCTTAATGAAAATTTCAAATTCCACTACTATTATAAATGTTCTCATATAATAATTAAAATTGTGTAGCAAATAGAAATTTGACACATAATCTATGCTATCTATTTGAAAAAGTACAAATATCAATTCATGCATTAAATGCTACCTACTCCCTAGAAATCGATCAATAACCACCGATTTTTTCATGATTTTTTGTTGGATTTTGATTGAATCGGCTAGGGTGATGGTTTTACACATGGAAATCAATTCTAATTAGATTTTTACATAATTTTAGTTGGATTCTGTTGAAATGGGCTGGTTCAATTTTGATAGTTCGCCCATCAAACCCATAACAACCATATAACTCGACCCATCAACTAAAAAAAAAATCTTACAAAACTCGTGAAAATCAGAAACCAAAACCCAAGCCCTAATCCTCTCAACTCCAACTTCCTTCCACCTAATCGCCGACGTTGATCGTCATTCATCAGTCGTCCACGCCATTCATCAATTGCCCTCGCTGAATCCCGTAAGCACATCATTTTGGGAATTTAATTTGTTTACAATTTCAATAGAAGATCTTTAAGATAATTGCTTCTTCTTCTTCTTCTTCTTCTATAGCCTGAAACAACAATATTTTCGCGGTCATGCAAAAGGCACGATAGCAAAGATACATTTTTAGGTGAGTTAAGAGTCAGATTTACAGATTGGTCTTAGGCTATGTTTGGTATCAATTAGGGCCTGTTTGGTAGGGATTCTCATTTTTTACAGTAAATCAATTCTTATTTTCAACCACACATTTTTCAATACAATAATAATTTCCATCACATCAATAATTTTTTCTTCTTTTTCAACCACACATTTCCCATCATACACTATTCAAAATCAATTCTTCCCCCAAAAAATCCCTACCAAACACACACTTAGTAATCTATATGTTTTGAGGGCTGAATCTAATTTGCACTTGGAATGTGTTAGGTTCAAATTTTTGGTTGTATCTGTTTTGAAGCCTAAATCTGATTTGCTCAGCAGATAAATATTTGCTGCTTTTTGGTTGAATCCCATCCAATTTTTGCTTGAACTTTGTAGAGCTTCTACACATTTTATAGTCA